AGTCTTTAAGTTTCATGGTCTTGAATGTGTTATCAAGTACTAAAGGGGACTGATAGTTCTGCCCTATCCTCCTCCATTGTCACCTTTTTTACCATCCAAGAAAACAATGATGGTGTCTGACTGAAGGAAGTTGGTGTTCTTGGCTGGTGAGCAGCTGGGGAGATGACTTGGGCCAGTGTTGTGTCAGTGGTGTCTGTCTGGGTACAGCTGCTTCTGTGCACTGAGTGGAGTATTTGCCAGACTGCAGAGCATAAGGTGCTTTATACTGGGCTTTTTGTTCCATCTCCACCATCTTGTGCTTTTTTCCCATTGAATTGAGAGCACCAAGGGAAGGAACAGCACAGTGTTTGCTCTAATACAGAGCAGTAGTTCTGCTGCTAAGAAACCTTTAATGTAGGATACTGTGTGCATAAGAGACTAAGCAATGTCATGATTCTTTCACCCAGAAGAGGAGCAAGCATGACTCTACCGTTTTATGACTTTTCTTCATCAGTATGAGAGTGGCTTCAGGATCACTGCAGTTGCTAGAAGGTGACTAAGCCATGATCTTATGCTGTCAATCCTAATTCTGTATCTCACTGAATTTCACTTCCATTCAGTAACAGTGTGAGAAATCTAGTGCCCCAAATAGAAATTTCTTTGCCTGTGTTAAAATATTTCTGCGTGGCTTTTGGTTGGTCTCTCTACTCACTTCTCTCTCTCTTCCCCCTCTCCTCTGTCCCTACTCTTTTAGTCACCACAGACATAAGTTTCAGAGTAGAACTGTATTTTTGCCTTTCTTGTTTTACCATTGGTTTGGGTTTGTATTTTATTTTCTTTTTTGATGTTCCGTTCTGAAAAAAAAGTCTGCTTTCTCCAGATGATTCTCTCTTCCAATTTTATTCATAGCTTGCATGTCTCACTGCTAATTCCATGAAGAATAGTTCTTCTTATTCTTCACATAAAGAAAAAAACTGATTTTTTTAGTTCACTTGTGTATACTCAAAATTCTTGGCAACATGTTGACAAAAGGTTGTCGTTGACAAATATCCTGATTTTCTAGTAGTTTCCATTTCTCCCAGATTTTCCCTTTCCTCTGACTTATGTAAGTGTTCCAGCCCAGGCTGACATTTTATTACCTTATATTTTGTGTAATATTTATTTCTTATAAAGTTTAAACATCTCAGAAATTCCTCAACACTTTAGTCTTTCCCTTCACTATGTTTTGTCCAATTTTTGCCCAAACATTTAGCACTTAATGAATGTTGCTAGTAAATCCAGTGTATTCCTTTTTTTATGCTTTATTTGGGAGCTGCTGAGCTTGGATTTAGAATGGTTGTCGAATGGATGTGACAGCTGGAATCACACCCTGCCTTCCCTGGGGCAGGCCTAGCAGGCAGACAGGACACAGGACATGGAGAATTCCCTGTCCTCGCTGGCTGAAGTGACTGAAGGGACAGGGACAGTGACAGCAGGTTCCTGCCCAGCACAGCAGGAGCATCTCCTCTGTGACTGTCCCACCTGTCCAGCTGCCCTGGCACAGTCAGTGTGATGCTGTCCCAAGTTACAAGTGATGTGCCTCTAGCTGTGCCACAGGAGTTTTAGGTTAGATACTAGGAAATATTTCATCACCAAGGACTTGTCAAGCACTGGAACAGGCTGCCCAAGGAATGGTTGAGTCTCCATCCCTGGAGGTATTTAGAAGACAGGTAGACATGGCACTTAGGGACATGGTTTAGAGGTGGACTTGGCAGTGCTGGGATAACAGATGGATTTGATGATCTTAGAGGTCATTTTTATGCTAAACTGTTTCATGATTTTACTTCACTAGAAATAAGGATAAAACTAAAATTTGTATTTTAATAAGGAAATACCAAAATCTCCCTCAAGATAATTTTAATTTCTCTGTTTCATGAATCTGCCTCTGCTTGAGCAATCAAAGTAGGCTTGGCAATGTGAACCAGCAGTGGATTTCTCTAAGGTCTTTGATGGCACTGTCACTGCAATGAGAACATGGGTATACTCTCCAAAATAAGCTTTGGTAGGAGCTGATTTTTACAGTAACTTAAATGTTGATCCTACTACCACTTAACTTCATGAATTTCAGTATCTGGAGTATGTTTTTTGCCATGTCTTAGTCCTTCAGTTTTGTAAATATTTTGTGAAGGTTTTTTTTCTTAAAGGAAACCAAAATGCATTTCTAAGTACCTGGAATACATTTTCTTCATAGGACTTTGGGGATATTTCATCATCTGATTTTTGATTTTGTTAGTTGTTATATCAGTCTGACAGGATAACATGGAGATAAAGGGATCCATTTGGTTTGTTAATAAATTTTGGGTTATTAATAAAGATTTGTCAATCTTGATACTGGATTGCTTGACAGCTTTTCTATAAAATTTGCGTTTTGAAATTACAGCAATTTTTCTGTACTTGAACACATGAACACAAGATATGTTAGAAAAGACAATATGGTTAAGATTGCATGGCTGATGGCAATCTGGAAGAATTAGAGTGGTTTTTGCTCAATGTTCACAAGCAGACACATTGTTTTAATCACACTGCCTTGATTGTGTTTCATAGCCCTGCCCTTTGTCAGTACTTGTGGAAGCTTGTGCAGCTGGAGCTCAGGTGTGCTTCTGTGCTGCTCTTCCCACAATTGAGACCTAACTTGTGCCAGCACCTTAGGTTGAATTCCAGCGGCTGCTGGGGCATGGCAAACCTGCAGCTGGGGTGGCAGGAGGGGCATGGAGATTCTTCACCCGATTTCATCAGTAGCTTTTAATTTCCGAAATCTCTTTATTTTTTTCTCAGTGATCCATAAGCCTCCTCTTGCAAGTGAAGTAAATGAGAAAATTAAAGAGAAACTGCCTAAAGAGATTTACTTACTGTATGAAAATCTGCCGTGGTGATTGGCTGCATAAGCCTGAGTGACAAGCTGGAGAGGGGAAAAAAAGCAAACCTGCAGCTGTTTGGGATTTATGAATGTGTGACACAAACAGCAGCTTCATGAAAACAAACAAGCTTTAAAAAAAGCATCGAGGAAAAAATTCACATGTGTTAATAGAATTAAGAAGTAGGAGCAATATTTGTGTTTCCTAGGAGCATAAAAAATCCTACCTAAAAAGCGTATATGTGATGTCTTGTGCTGCTCAGTCAGGATTATTAGCTAGCGCTAAGCTGTGCAATCAGTCGAAGCTTTTCGTCTCTGGATGCTTGAATTATTCTTAATATTTTTCAAAATCTAAATTGGGTCATAAATGTTTAGGCAATTTCAGATTAGCAGTGTAGGGGGTGGAGAGCATTATAAAACACACCATGTGATAGAACAGTTGAGTGCACTGATTATTAGGCTGTGCAAGTAGACAGAGCCAAGTGGGAGAGCACCTTCACACCAGGAATGAGGGGTGCTGGCTCTGCAGCAAGAGGAGAGCCCTGCACAGTGCCTGCCCATGCCATGCATGACCGGCTGATTATCTTGGTCCTCCATGGAGCCCTTGACAGCCCTGTAGGTACTCAACAGATGTCTTGAAAACATCAGCTGGTCAAAAATCAGCCCTGGTCACTAACAAAGGTCTTACAGAGCTGGTAAATACCTCCTAAATAACTGTGGGAAGTTAAATATCCTCCCTGGTGGAGGCCACCCTGCTAAAGAGAAGGGAGAATACAGAAAAGCAAAGATTAGGCATGAGGAAAGATTATCAAAAAAAGTATGAAAGGATTGTTTTGTGTCTGCATTACATCAGAGAAAAATACTGAGATAGGAGACGAGAAAAAGCCAAACATGATATAAGAAACCAGGCTATTTAGCTGGTGTGTTTAGTTAGCATATACTCAGGAGACCATGAGGACTAAATAAGCTAAATAAAGAGTCTAGAAAAGCAACAAAAACCACCCCAAAGCATATAAGCAATCTTTAATGCTAGTCTGTTTTCTCTCCAATATCGTCCAATGTTTGTCTATTGTAACTTACAGAAAAATACCAACAAGCACAGTCATTGTGAACAATATTTTTAAGATTTGGTATTAAGTGCATCTCATTAAGTTAACCTGCATTGTTCTGTCATCCATTTAGCAGCTGAAATATAAGATTTTATGGAAATCAGCAAGGTTGGCAGGCCTGATGTTGAGCCAACTGCAAAAATTGGCTGAAGTGGTTTTAAGATTGAGCAGACAATGGGTGACTTTCCTGTAATTGTGTTTTGGAAAATAGCTGAGCTGTTTCAGCTTGAGCTTTCAGGAAAAATAATGTGGAAAATCTCAACAGGAAATGTTCTATGTAGCAAACACACACACACACACACAAAAGTGAATATGGAGCACTGAGGACTTGGGGAAAATTTTTAACCTTCTCTAAAATGTTGTGGCTTCTGTTAATATTATTATTCGTAACAAAAATGACTGCTATTTTTTTATTATTTAGACTCACTGATGTTACTTAGTCACTTATTTATCTGTACATTATTTTGCTATGCACTCTGCATTGTACTGTTCAGAAATGCTACAGAAAATGGTGATGCCTGATATTAATCAGGTGTATGATGCCTTATTAATTGGAGTGAGATAGAATTCAGTAATTCCAATGTGTCAAACTTTTTTTGAAAGTATGGGAAATAAGTATGGGAAAGTGTTGGAAATTTTTTATCTTCTGTTGTATGATGTTTAATTAAATTATTGTCTTTCTGCTGAATGAAGTCAGAGACACATAGGGTCATCCATGCTCAAAATGCTGACTTGTTTAATAGATCAGATGGTGAACTAGCATTTTGTTTTAGACACAGACAAGGTCCTGAGCTCTTACAGCATGTTCATTGTTCTTTCCTAGCTGCACCATGTGATAATGGAATGCAGGGTGGTTATTGAAGTTTTTGTCTGATAGATTACACTGTTAACCTGGCACTCCAGCAAATTGTCATATTCTAGCAAACAGGCAGGACATTATGCAAGAGAGTACTTCAGCTCAAAAATCTGTTTAGTGCATAAGCACACTGTAGTTTTCATTTTATTTTACTCTTTTGTAGGATTGCATTGATGTGGGTTGGTGGGAAGGAGAACTCAATGGCAGACGAGGTGTTTTTCCAGATAACTTTGTCAAGCTACTCCCTTCAGATTTTGAAAAAGAGGTAAGCAATATATTCTTTCATTTTCACTTGAAAATTCAGAATGAATGTAGAGCTGAAAGAAATCCTCTTTCAGATAAGTGATTTTGACAAAGTTGTTCTTCTCATCTAATAACATAAAAACACAAAGGAAAAAAAATTCTGAGTTAGAAAACATCCATGAAAAGAATGTGTGGCACTCAAAGTCATACTATAGTTTCCTCGGAGGGTTTGATTTGCCCATCCAGTCATCCCACCCCTACTGTGCTGCTCTGAAAGCCCTCTGTCCTGTGTCCTACAAGTTTGAGAGAGAGAGCTGGAGATCCCAGGGCTGAGTCATGTGATGCAATAATATCCATAATTCTTTAGTCTTCTCCATTGTTTTTGTGGTGGAATATGAATTTAGAGTATCACCTGCATGCTGATGGACAGCAGTCAAGCACTGTTCCAAAACAAAATAATTTTAACTATGAAATTCGAAAAATAATAAGATTTTGGTATCTTAGAAGCATGTCTCTTTACCTCTCAGAATTACTAAAAAAAGGAAGGTATAAAACCTATGCAGAAATTTTTTCAGCTCCTATTTATTTGAAGAAGATGGCATTGTTATTTGCCAGAAATCTTGTGGTTTCCTGGCATAAAGTAATGGATTACTTCCCCCAAAAGTCCATTCCATTTTTAGGAACCTTTTGAGTCATCAGTGGGATATTAAAAGCTTGCAATCAGGCTTTTGATGAGTATTTCACAGTGGCAGTGTAAGCTTTCTGTGATGCCCAGCTTCACTCTTTGGCAATAAAATTGGATGCCGAAGGCAAAAATTAAATAACTTGGAAAGCCTAATAAAGCAACTATTAAACAACTCACAGAGGATAACAAGATAATTATTGAAAAGGAAAGGAGAAGAGCAGCAAAAACTGTGGGAGATGAAAAGGCAATTCCACAGCAGAGTGCATATCCTGGCTTTAGGCCTAAAAGTAAAATAAGGTGATTTCTAGAAGAGGCAGAAATCAAAAACCTGAAGACAGAGTAGAAGAAAAAAATCCTTACTGGTATTCAGTTTTGTGGTGTAATTATTCAGTCTTTTTGAACTTAAAAATTACGTATCTTTAAAGTGATTTTTAGAATACAATTGAATATAACTTGTTGAGTAAATTAGATATTCAGACACTTGGAAATTACAGCTAGGCTTGCCCTAACTGTGGAGAATAAAATTTTATTAATTTTTGAAATGCCACAGATCTGTCCACTTGAGTAGGTAACTGGTAGGACTATAGACCATCTGTCTTTGCTTGAACCAGTGCTAAAAGGGAAGGAGATAAATACTTTACCAGTGATTTTGTCAGGTATTTTCTGATGTGATCCAGAAACCTTGGATTCCATCCCATGGTCGGAAAGTATTTGTTGCAGTCGTTCTTCTGTCTGTTTAACAAAAACTTGGGATCTCTTCCCATCTCCTTGTTCAGTCCCAATTTTCCAAGCCTGACTCTTTTCCACACATGCCCATTTGTTCCAGGCCTTTTGTATTCACTCCCTAGTCCCAATCTCCACCTCTCAGGTGGTCTCCATTACAGGATTTTCCCCTGAGCTCACTACCTGAGTCCAAATCACCATCTGGATTTACTTTCTATCCGTACACCAAATTTCTTTATACAGCTTTTTTCCTCTCCCCTTTTACTCATTGTCCCTGCTCTGTAGTTCTGTTTTCTTCTTGTCCAACCAGTCCTGGTTTTCTTTCTGTTGGCTTAATTTCTAGTCTGTCTCCATCACCTTCTTGGTTATCTCATCCAGCCACGGACCCTTGTAAATCCTTCTCACTTCTCCATGTTTCCCTGAGGAGTCTTTTAAGGCTCCTTCACACTACACCCTTTCTGACCTTGGTCTGTCCTTTTGAAACAATCTATTTCCCTCTTCAGCTTTCAGTTAAAGCCACTTTGTCAAATGAACCATAGGACCCTTTCTCCTTTGTGTCTGTCTACATAAGTGCTTTGGTTTTAGTCAGGAGTGACTGTAGTGAATCTGTCACTTGTCTGTCTGCACTTGTGCTTTGGAAGACACATCTCAGGGGACATAATAACTTAGACCCAAGATCTGCAAAGGGAGTGCTGCTGATGTGTGGTCACTCAATGGGATCAGTTTCACACTACTCCACAATAAAACCCCAAATGCCTGTACTGTACTGAATTATACTGCATTGTACTGTTGAATCCTCAGCATCAACTATTTCACTCTGCAGCCATTATCAACAGAACTCCTAATGCCTATCACAGGACATTCTCTGTCTCTGCCTCGTTTCCTTTCCAAATTTTTCTTCACTTTTCTGCATTTGAACCTTAAACCACATTGCCCAAATTCTTGTAGAGGCGTCTCTGAGAGTTTAAGGGATTCTGTTTGTGGTCAATGGCCAATGGCAGCCAGGCTGTGGAAGATCATTCTGATCTCCTGAGTTCTTGGCCACAGCTTTCTCAGGTTGATGACAGGAGGTGATCTGGTCAGGGTAAGATGGTAGGAGAAACTTGAAGGTTGTTGGATGACAACTTTGAGATTCAGGATGTTAGGCTCACCCTGTATATGCAAAAACTGGTATTTTTTTTTTCTTCAGAGATTAATGCATTTGCTAGATTTGAGAGAGATCCCTTGGAAAGGTATGTGGCAAGCACTCAGCCTTCACAACAAACTTGCTCTCTTTCAACACTCAGACCAAGATCTGAGAGTTCTAGGGCAGACATTGAGCTAATTACTGCAAGTGAACAAAGCAATTGATCTTTCTCAAAAGCTTTGGCAGATAGATAGAAAACAATTGGAGGGAGGGCAGGGATCAATAAGAGTTTGAGAGAAAATACTAGCCTAAATGGCTGATTGAAGTTTGGCAAAGCTGTGCATATCTGGAAAAATCATTTTATTCCACATTTGTTCCACAACACAATATACATTACTACATAGCCAGCAATGTAATGAAAGTGATTGTGATCAATCTGTAGCAAAAGAAAAAAGATCATTCTCAGAAAAAAAGGATGAACATATGGAAAAAAAATTCTTTTTGCTTAGAATTTCTTTACAATAATCTTGATAGTTGGTTGGGTTTTTTTTTTTAAGTGAGAGATAAAGTATGTCATTTGATCTAGCATGATGCTCCTTTTGGTCTTGTACTCATTGCAACATACATGTGGTGACTGCCAGTGTGCTGTGCCTGCATTCACACACATCAGCACAGAAGAAAAGCCATCAGTCCCCCAGCCTGCAGGTGAAGAGAAATTGTTCTGGTACTGCCAGAACCATTGGTGGTCATGTTTCTCAGTCCTGTCATTACAGATCTATCAGGAAAATCATCATAACAGAGAAGGTAGGAGTATAAAAACGATTGATTAGTTGGAATAATTTGTTTCATTTCACCAAACATCTAAAATTCTGATCTTTCACAACTAGAACTCGAAATATACCTAGTAAGTGAATAAAGAGCAACCTTTGCTGTATTTCCTGGATTCTACATTTTTGTCTCATTTATGAGTCTGAAAATATCTCAGGTTTTGCCACATGTATCTCAGAGTTTCTTTGTTTTGGTTTGGTTTTTGTTTGTTTTTTTTTTCAAAATGGGTAGGAATATTTACAAGGTTAAATTTTAAAGAAATAGACTTCTTCATTAGATTAAAGATCATCTATTCCTCCAGTCTTAAGGTACATAAAATGAACTTTTTTAACCCATCAGCAGGACATTCAATTGCAAATATAAAAATAATATTTTGTCAATGCTGTTTTCTCTCTTCAAATTCATTTTAATGAAGATATTTCAGGAGAAATATGTGAAAGATCTGTAGTGTCATGACTTGTCATTATTAATGTTAAGCACTTTCTGATTATCTTCAACCTCTGTATGAATGAGATTTAAAGGCCTTTTGAAGCAACCTGTTTTCTTCTGTTATTTAATTTCAGAGACCGAAGAAGCCACCACCTCCATCAGCTCCTGTCATCAAACAAGGATCAGGTAAAGTGCAGTTGATTTTTTACAGCACATCTCAGTGAACACATCTCAATCTAAATTAAGTGTATTCAAATTTATATAGAATTCATAATATCAAAATTGACAAGGAGATGTCTAAGCAATAACTAATAAATCACAATCAAAATGCAAATAGTTGGTAACCTGAAAGACTGTGGTGGGCTTTAAATGTATTGCAGTCAACCATCTATACCATTTCAAAATAATCTGTTATGCCTCCTAATCATGTTAAATCAGAGCAAGTGTGGTACTTCAGTTTTTCAAAATTTTTTGGTTTTGTTCCCTGACAGAAGTCAATTGTGTGCATGTCCTTGCAGTACAAACACAGTATGTAGAGTCTGATAATACCTGCGGGAGGAAACTGCATTCAGTACAGATCTGATTTATTCTAGAGACACAGAGCTTTTTAGAATATCTATAAAATAGTGTCGTACAGTGGTCTCCTCTGAGCTGCAATCTAAGTCTTGCAGATCTGCATGAATGCTGGATCTGGCTGGCTGCTCCAGATTATAGGCCCTAGATTCTTGATTTTCAATACTTTTATAGCCCTAAGTATGAAACTAAAAGGAGTTACTCTGAATAGTTATGTAGATAAAGGTGTTGCAAATGTATTAATGGGCTGATTCTGTTTTCCGGACAGATGAGTGCTAGCAAAACTGATTTTGTGATACGTTATACTGAATTGTGTATAGATACTGAGAGATGAACATACTTCTATTTGTAATTTTAAAGCAACCTGTCCATAATAATTTTTGAAAATGCCTGCATGATTTATTTTCATCATGAAACTTAGAAACAGTTAAAGAATCTAAGCACTTGACAGTCCTGAACTCAGAAACCGAATTCCAGTTCCATTCATGTAAAAATACAAATCACAAGGCAGGAGATGCACTCAGAGTTTTCATTTATTGCAGTTGTGGTGGAGACATAACTGTGGCTGGAATTCTTTAATCTCTTAAATCCAGTCAGTTTGTAAATACTCTGCAGCAGCCCTACTGCTTCCCCCACTGCAGGCACACATTAAAAACTGAAACAAATACGTCCGGTCTCCAGATAGTTTTCTTGCTAATGTGATGTGTTCCAGCTTTTGGTGCTTTAAAAAGTAAATTTTCCTCTCTTACAGACTTAAACTGTTAGTAGAAATGCAACTTACACTGATATACAATTTACTGTGAATCAATATGCTATAATTTAACTAGTTTGAAATTGTCATGCATTTCTTTGACGACAGAATCATGACCATAAATATTTGTGTTTCTTACTGACATCCCTTGTTTTGTTCTTCACTTTGTCTTGAGACTCAAGGAAACATAAATTTGATTTTAAATCAGTAATAGTGTCCAGTGAGAGCAGTATGACTTTGCCATCTAGTGGTGGTTGTATAACAACGTCTTAGTGACCACAGATGCTAAAGCCTGATATGTTTTGTTAAAACTCTATAAAACTTCGTATTTATTTCAATTTATACTGCTGTAATTAGAGCATAACAAATTCTTTAGCTGCGTCACCATAGCAGGACAATGTGTCCATCTTCAGAAAGAAAAATGGTTGCAAAAAGGATGCAGACAATTTGATTAAGGCCATCTATGTCAAAGACAAGACTATTGCAGTTCTTTCTTTTCATACTCAGTCTTTGACAACTCCTGGCTGACCAGGCACAAGAGTTTCTTCTGACACATATTTAGAGCTGAAAACCGTTCTATTTGTTACCATCCTGACATCCTCTACTTTGTCAAATTCTTTCTTCACTGAGATTATACTGTATTTTACCACATCTCCACATCAGGTCGTACTGTTGATAGTGGTAACAACTTCAGTAATGCTTCTGCATATTTGACCAGTCACAGTGTGATGAATAAATTTAAAACTGTCAGTTGCAGCCTAAATAATTACATGTCAGCATCTTCTATGCAGAGCATAAAATCAAAGCAGAGAATTAGAACTTGTCTTTGTAGTACACGTGGCATATGTTTAAAGACGTGTCTATATTATTGTAGAGATAGAAATTTATGATCTCCACAGCAGTAAACTGCCAGGGCCATCTGTGCTGCACTACTTTACAGTGCAAGCTGAAAACTGGAGAGCTGAATTTAGGAACACAAGTTTCTTACATATGGTCATTGAAAAGCAGTAGGCATTTCATGGGGTAGCTGGGGTAAGCAACACAACTGTGTCCGGACCAAAAGGTGGGAATACTCTTGAGTTCCTCTGAGAGCTGATACAGAGCTTCCCAAAGCTTCCTTGAAGGTGGCTGTCACCTGGGAGCCAAGGCAGGATCATGGTGCCTGCCTGGGTGCTAATTAATTTGGGAGTCACAATCTGAGTAGGAAGAACAACTTGAGTCTGGGAGCTCCTCAGTTGCTGTAGGCTCATTGTTCTAGACTTGGCCTGAGGATGTCTCTCTGTGTGTTGATAATGGCTGTTACTCATATTGTAATTAGGTATAGAGACTTATGTGTCTTTATTTTTGAACACACTAGTGTGGGCAAGATTATCAATATGTTGACTTGTGCTTTGCATAACTTGTGGTTTGAAAGGCTTTGATTGTTTTGGAGCTACAGCTTCTCTCAGGAGTGAAGTCTTTTTCATAGAATCATTTATGTTGGAAAAACCCTTAAGATTGTTGAGTCCAACCATAAATGAGAATTTAGTATTATTTATTGACATGATATGTGGTACTATTGCCTGTCCAACAGCACACTTGGGTAAAGAAACAATGGCTGGTGATCACCACTGATGAGTACTGATTTCTAGGAACCAGCTGCAGAAGGGAGTTGCAACAGCACATTCAGAAAATGTAAATGCACTTGAGAGCTGCATATAATAGAATAGATTGAAACAAAAAATTGCCTTGTGCTCCTTGCCCTGCCTCCTCTGCTTTTCTTGGATTTCATCTACTGTAGTTTTTATTGAAATGCTAATAGTGTTACCTAAAGTGGTTTTCAACACTACTAAGTTGAAATGGCATTAGTACCTAGTAGTTAAGCCAATGCAGCAAAGCCAATATCCAATAAAATGTTTCTTATAACATGGGGATTAGAAGATTTTATCTTGCATGTGCCAGGAAATTTTTGCAAAATCTTCCCATTGTTGGTGCCACAATTTCCCATATTTCTTGGAGGAGCAGAAGTCTGTACGTCTCAGGGTCTCTAGTACAGAGGCAGAAGGGGGCAGGGTTTTACACCTCCAGGCCAAAAGCTGTCAATTAAAATTGTCGTGCAAATAGTCATGCAGGATGCTGCCAGCACTGCTCTTCTCCTACTCCTAATATGTGGAAGTGAACAGCTACTAGTAGTGGAGAAAACAGGGAGGGATGTGTTAATTTAATGTCAAATAACCTATGTATATTCAGCTCTATCAGGCATTCTCTTGACATTGCTCAGTTAATTGATTTATTCGCTATGTTTCTGCACACTTTTGAGTTGCTTTTCATTTACGTCTGTAATGATAAAGGATTTGTCCACATTTTAAAATCTGAAGTTATCGATTTTTTCCCCCCTAGAATAGTCTATGAGCCTTCATTCTTTGGGAGTGCACAGTTTGGAATCTGTGAACTTGATTATGAAAACATAAATATCCAATCACTTTTTTGTCATTATGGTGCAGACGAATATTTGATATAAATTCATGTTCAATTTTAGCAAGACATTTTCAAATCAGAATATAAAAAGCCCAAGAAATTGTAGAATTAAATCTTATGTCACTGTTTTGTTGGCTTGGTCAGAATTCTAAATGTTTGTGTCTTTGACAGGGACCACAGATCGAAAGCATGAAATCAAGAAGATACCCCCTGAAAGGCCAGAATGTCTTCCTAATCGAACAGAAGAAAAAGGTATGAAATGTGCTTTCCTGCCTGTTCTCTGCAGAGAGGTGAGGGAAATAGAACCAAAGCACATCCTCACTTCCTACTCTCTGTTTCCATTAAGGACATAGTTTGGATGTTTGTTTTCCACTCTGATAGACTGTGATGATAGGCATTTTGGAAAGGCTTTCGTTGTTGCTTCTGGGCTGAGTTCAGGCTGTTCAATTGTAGCCATCCAGAGCTGTTGAATACATGCAGCCACAACCGCAGTCAAGGGGAGATCTGCTCTCAATACATGAAATGCTGTATAAAGCCCAGTGCTCTGTAAAACCCAGGTGCTCGATCAAGTAAAATACCCCAGATTAGTGTGTACTTTTTTCTTGACATCTGTCTGCTTTGGTTCTCCAGTTGAAAGCTGGGTTGGTGGTTTTCCTGCATCACAAAGGGATTTTGTGGAGATATACTCATTAATGCTTATGAATCACTCCATTATCATAGCCACAAAAGTCCCAGGCAAGGCAGCAAAGAAATGAAAAAATTCTTCAAAGCCATGTTTGAACATTGTGAGAAATGGGACACAGTACCACACAGAGCAGGGACAAGCAAATTAAACCTTTAATGGTTTCATTGTATTCGTTGTGAATGGTGAATAGTCTCAGGAAAGTAGTTACATCTATTCTCTAATTGAAGATGGTGTCAAGTTTCATACGTTCAGTGGACTATTAGATTGTACAAACAAGTTTGTTCATGGCATTTCTTAATATCTAAGTATTTGAACTTGCAGCCTTTTAAAAGGCATGTGTATGCACATGACTAAATACACAATATGCAGTTATAACTTAGTGACATAACTTTCAGACTTTGCACCAAGATCAGTTTCTGGATATACATCTTAGTGTCTGACAGGTGTTTTAGCTGTTTCCTCTACATAGGTTACTTTTGGTTATGTGTGCTGCTTCTCGTGGTTATCTTAGCAATAAAACCCTTTGCTTTCCATTTTTGGATTTACAAAGCTGACTGCTAAAACAGCAGAGGAAATTTAAATATGTTACTCTCCTGGGCTGTAAATATCTGTAACTTTTCTAAACATTGACATCAGGCTGTAGGAGTCGTGCCTACATTTCAGGAGTACCAGGGAGTGGCAGGAATTGCTCATGTGGTGTGACAGCAGGGGTGGCACAGGAACATCCTTTGAGCTGTGTGTTGGCACAGTGCCCAGCCTGTCCCTCACACTGTTTAGATTCTTGGACACTGACGCAGTATAAATTGTCACAGGATTAAGTGTGTACAAATGACACAGTATGCTGGAAAAGCTTCAGTGTTACTCAGGACCCGATGACTGCATCTGCTCAAAGCATACTGCCTGTGAACAATCGTCACTAACTGGACTATTCCAAACACAATGTGCATTGTGTTTCTGGGGATTTATTCCATGATCCCCTCATTAACGGGTTCTCATTAAGAGCCCATTAAGCAATACCCTGTAACATTCCCAATACCTCTTATATGTGTATAGAGGTGTAACATTCATGGCATATCATAGGCAGCATTGTCAAGAGAAGTGGGATGTTGGAATAGCAGGATATAGAGAGCAGAACTTTAATTCCTTGGAGAGTTTTGTCCTTTCTTTAAGAAAAATCAGGCCTTCTCTGGCAAGCATGCTTACGTCTTTGTTTTGTATTAGGAATTTAGAGTATGTTTTTTAGAAGAGTTATTCATGTGTGTATTGTACTTTACAAATGCACAGGCATTGTATGTTTGGCATTGGATATTTGCATGGTGGCACTCCCTAACTATGCATAATCAGTTCTGCAAATGATCTAGGTTTTCATTGGCAAGATGAAAAATTCAGTCTATAAATCTGTGCTTAAAGCCTAAATAATAGGTCTGATTTTTCTGAGGGCTTTACATCCTGCTAGACATTGTTAAATTTTTGTACTTATATTTTATTTTCACTTAACTGTAGTTCACTTGAAACATGCTTTTTTCCCCCAAAAAAATGGCATTTCTGTTTGTCCAAGAGATATTAAGAATATCTAGCATAATTATTTTTGTGACCTTCAAATTAATATTGTTTCATATTAAAATTGAATATAAGTTGTGCTCATGGGAAGTTGTACCATATGGTATGTAATTTCTTGCCATTCTTGTACTTTGCAGTCAGAAACCAGTAAGTAACTAAAATAAAAAATAGTATTCCCATTAAGATGCTGCACACGTGTTTTGGCTGAGGAGTTGTAGGCAGACTGGCCAGGCAGGTTGAAAACTGATTTGTGGCAAATACATCAAATAAAGAATTATTTAGAACAGAAATTGAAAGGTTTTTCTTTGTATACAGTCTACCTACAGTTGAAGATTTCTTCTTTGAATGTAGACTTGTGAGTGCAAATGAATTCCACTTAATAATATCCCTGTTCTTTTTTCTGGAAATGATTGATTTAAAGAAAGATCAGAGAGAGAGCAAAAACAGGTAGACTTGCAGAAGCCTTCAGTTCCTGCTATACCTCCGAAGAAACCTCGGCCACCCAAAGCCAACGCTGTGAGCAGACCTGGTACCTTGCCCCCGAGACGACCAGAGAGACCAGTTGTGCCTGTGACTCATGCAAGGTATTGCTTTCCTTCCATCTAATGCTTTTGGGTTAAGTGGAAAAACCATGCATTTAAAGAATTTAGGTTTTACAGTTTGTGTCTGAATTTATTTCACAGTAAGCCATATTTAAAGAACAAGAAGAAAAAATAAAATCCTTATAGTCATCTGGCTGGATCATAACTATCTTCTCAATAATAGCAGTCTCAGACTGTTCATGACTAGTTCATTTCTAGTGATGAAATTTTACTGTTACTGCAACAGTGCAGAATGTGTGGGAAATACCTACATCAGAATGTTACTCTGATCTTGACTTAGTTTACCTCAAATTATTGCATCTTAGCTTGGGGCAATAAGTCAGTGCAAAAGCTTGGATTGTGCTTAGGAATAGCATTAGGCAATGCACGTTTCAAATACTGTCAGCCTGGTGTCAGTCTGATTTCTTTGATCGTTTTAGATCAAACTTTAGCAAAATACACATCTTCAATGCTTTCTTAGCTGGTGCACTGTAGAATAATGCTGTCAAGTATTTATGCTCTCATGTTGGTTGTCACTCTGCAGTTACATGATGCTTTTTATCAGAGGCAGTTACAAACTTTGAGGAGCATTGAGAAATTGGACTTGGCAACACAAGTCCATTTATTCTCTGTTAGAGCAAAGGCTGCAGAAATTAAAGGCCTCACTGTAGTCCTAATCAATTCCAGGTGGCTATATTTTAGTCATCAGCATCTGGATTGTGCACTGTAGATTTCCTTCATGCATAGTGAATATAGTTAGATGAAAATCAGAATAAAAGCTGTTGCCTAAAAGGGGCAAGCTATGCATCTTGCAGGAAAACTAGAATATAGGCATGGAAATATTTTTACTATTGTACTGTTAGGAAAATTAGCTGCCATTGAATAATTGGAGTTCAAGTATAGTATGGTGAATTAAACACCGGCATAGAGTACAGGTTAGAGTGAAATGCTGTACATTGATCCCCTTCATTCCTCCACATGTGGTTCAATAAAAAAATGCTCTTAGTGAGAAATCTGTGGCAAATGAAAAGGAAAAGAGGCACCTGCCTTGTGCTCCCAGTTTCATCTTACTGAAATGCTTTGGTTGTACATCTCTGAGAACTTACCCTTCAATCCAGGTGCTACTGCCACAGCTTCTTTTGGACTTGGCTATGAACAAGCTTGCCCAGTTGCTCCAAAATACAATCCATACCTCCTGATCACCTGCCCATATTTGGAAATACAAGTATTTGCTACAATCTTCAGGTTTAGCTCTGTGATGTCTTGGAAAGACCAATACATACTCTAGTGTTCAGTTCACTGGTGAGGCATGCAATGGAGTAGCTGTTCTTTTGTTCTATCCTTTGCCTGAAATATTTTAAACATACTATAAAATTTTAGCATGCAGAATTTGGGAAGGGTATTTTGCTGCTCTTGTGTTTTCTTTTTTTCTAAGTACAAAATTGTATGAAATAACCATGTATTTTTTAAAGATATTTCAATTTTCATTTTATCAAAGGCAAAAGGCATACCTAAACAGTAAACTTTCTATGTTCTTAATTGTCCAAACTTTGCTATGTCTAGCACAGAAAAAATTGAAAATATTTTGACTTGCTTGGATAATTAAGAAATAGGAACTTCACGTGGAAGCAGTCACTTCAATAAAGGTGTTTTATTTTTAAATCCTTTCAGTCAATAAGATAGTAATTATTTTAAGACCTACTGGTATCCATTTCTAAAATCTGAAAAACCTAAAGCAATTAGAATAAAAATTGAATCAGCAGAACTTTTGCTGACCTGTTGTGGTTTAACCCTGGTGGACAGCTGAGCCCCATGCACACACTCACTCCCCCACAGTGGGTTGGAGGTGAGAATCAGAAGGGCAAAAGTAAAAACAGTTGTGGGTGGAGACAAAGACAGTTTAACAGGAAAAGCAAATGATGCATGTGCAAGCAAACAAAGAATGTTGCTACTTCTCATGTGCAGGCAGGTGTTCTGCTATCCCCTAGAAACTTGAGCTTCGTCACCTGCAGTGGTGACTTGGGCAAAGAAATGCCATAACTCCAAACATCCCTCACTTCTTTCTTTCATCACCTCTAAATGCTGAGTATGATGTCATGTGGTGTGGGACATCCCTCTGTCAGCTGGGGTCAGCTGTGTCCCCACCCAACTCCCACTCCCACTCTCCTCACTGGTGGGATGATAGGAGAAGCAGAAAACGCCTTCTGTGCAAGCACAGCTCAGTAATACTGAAAACACCCCTTTGTTATCTACACTGTTTTCAGCACAAATCCAAAACATAGCACCATGCAAGCTGCTATTAAAAAAATTAACTCTATCCCAGCCAAAACCAGTACATTATCCTTAGGGGGAAATTGCTGTAGTTACAAAGTGAGCCCCGTGAGATTTCCATGGCAGCTGCTAAGCCAAAAAGGGTTTTCTTCTGTCCTGAATAAGTGGCTTTCATCTTCTGCATCTCACTGACTTTTTCTAGTGTTGATTGTTTTTCCTTTTAAATATAATCCTCCTTCACTGGAGGTAGTGTAGGGCTTCAAGGGCAATAGGACAGATAAAAACCATGTGAGACAGTGAATAGCTGTCAGATTGTTCCAAAGGTTTCACAGCTTACTTAAGACATACCATGATTCTACAATTTACAGAAAAGTCACTTCTCAAGTAGGCAATCCATAAACACCTATAGAAGGTGCATCTTTACAATCAGTTTAAACCAACCCATGTCCATGCCACTGCTGACAGGGTTCCTAGTCCTGGCACCCCATTGCCACAGCCTCCCTTATGTTTAGCACCAGCATTTGTGCAACTGTGCAGCCATATGGGTCAGGGAGTTGCTCCAGATGGCAATTAATCAGTTTGCAGTGGGACTTCTATTAGTGTGGGGTTTCTCTCAGGCTGATCATCTGTCTGGTCAAGCTGACAGTCTGTCTGTATGGGCACGAGCAGAGAGGGACACACTGTCAATGAGAAGGGAGGGCTCCATTCCTTTCACAACAGTATGAATGCAGAGTAGCATAATGAGCCTGTTGATTGTTCTGACAACAGGGTTGGGGTTTTTTTGTGGGGCTGTTGTCATATATATCTTGGTATCTTTTGTAGGCAAATGGTAAATGTTGTGACTTTCAGCCCTAAATCATGCCATTCTAAGAATCTCTCCAAAGCCATACTCACACATTTCCTAGAGTGCTTCCAACTCACATTGTGCTCTCAGATTGCTGGGAAATACATGTGTGCAAAACAGAGTATGCAGTCAGATGCTCATTGCTCTGTCAGCCAAGAAACTATGTTGCTTCTTATAGGTTTACAAATATATAAAAAATATATAATATATAAGAAAACTTTAAAGACTGAAAAATAAGAAAATAATTGTTCAGATAGATCACTCAGAAATACCCTTATTTATTAACTTGCTAATTAATACATTTTTCTATGCATGTGTTAAATTTCTTCTGTGTCCCTCCTGGTGCAGACTGCCTGCCATGTTAAGAGCTGTGGAGGACTAGTTTGCTTTTAATCTGATTGTCTGTTTTTTTGTTCACTTGTCACCTTGTCACAGGGTTTAATGGGATATATATTTGCTTAATCTGTGACTTCCTCTGGTTTTAATAAAGATTTTCAGCTCTTTATCACAGCCTTCCTGAAGTCAGAAATAGGGTTTCCAGCCACTTAGTGTTTTGCTCATAAGCTGCTGCCATTAAATTGAGGTTCAGCCCATCTGTCATCAGCTTATGGTACCAAAAGCAGAGACCAATGAAAAAATCAACAAGATTTGTGAGCTCACTACGTATTTTGCTGTCAACAGCTAATTATTGCACTATATAGTATACCTCTGCCTGGGTTGTTTCGGGGCAGATCTATATTTTTATCCTGGAATTTGGTACCTTACATGCGTCTTAATTTTTATAGTGTTACACTGGGAATAGTCATTGTGGAAAAACTGTTGTATTTATCAAGTGACCTCATAATGATAGCAATTACAATGTATTGTATTAACTGAACAGTTGTTATCACAGTAAATATCAGAGATTTGAGTGACCTGTGCAATACTGAGTTACACTGTTTATTTTTTATATTGTTTCAATAGGTAGAGTATTTTAGTAAACTCACATGCTTTTAGGATAGAATGTTCTCCAAAGTAGGGATAATTTTGTTGCTTTTTTTAAATCTCCTGTTTAGTTTTAAAGTAGCTCCTCTGTATAAAGTATTATAGCTCCTAACATTTTACTATTCAAAAGACATTTCTGAAAAATTAGGTGATCTTGGTTCTTTGGACTGTAGAAACAGTATTCATAGTCTAGTCTCAGAAGTGCAGAAACATGTTGGAGGAGTTGCATTTGTGAGTAAATATTTGGAACTGCTGAAACACACAATGCTAGCTTGAGGTTCTCTCGCTTTCTGCAGCATTCCAGGTAGTCCACTGGTATATTTTGTGCAAGCCAATTAATTAGAAAAAAACTACAAAGAAGAAGAGTGTCCTCTTGCCCTTAGGTTTCCTCCATGTTGAGATGCTGTGAACATCTGAAGAATGACTCCGGACACCAGGGTGTCTAAAACAGGCTTTTTTGACAGGTGTTAAGGAGAAATGGGATAAGGTTAATCCACACAGCATGTCGACTTGCTAGAGATTGCTCTCGCTGACATTGCTATTACTCTGGTGCTGCAAAGGAAGAATACTTTGCTGTCTCACTATTAATTGCAAGTTAGCTATCAATTTACTGTAACCCACACAAAAACTCCCAATAAAACATCTCCTCTTCTTGATCCAAATGCAGGAGTGATAGTCCAAAAGTGGAATTAGTGGGCAGTACAGTATCCGGCACTCTAGAGAAAGACTCCTCTGAAAGAAGCAATGACATCGGTAAGTTATAGTGCTTTCTACAGTTTGCCTAAGAAATTTATGGTACAAGTTTCTGCTTTTTAGTGACTTTTGCGTGATTCAAGAGGCAGATTGAGGAATTGGCAATGAATGTGAATGCTTTTATATCAAATTTTAACTGCAGGATTAAAGGATCATTTCTACTTTACTTAAAATAGTTTTGTTGGGGTTTTCTGTTAAAAAAAAATTAAAAGCAAAAAGCAAATATGGAATAGAGAGATATTTTGAATAGGAAGGCTCCTGTTATTTTTGTTTAAAAATCTGAAGCAAGTGAGAAGGTCAACAATAATAAAGCATACTTGTTTAACTGATGTAATAGTGCTGCCATAGTTTTGCTACTGCAAAAGATTGTGGGTTTGGTGCAGTTAGTAATCTTTGCACTTTCCTATACAAAGAAACAGAAACCCAGTTCAGGTCAATTTTACTTCATACACCAATTAAAAGCAAAAAAGTCTAAATTTCTATTGTAAAGAACTAGTGTTTCTGACCCATGAACCATTTAATCAGGAAGTCACCTGGAAAGGAGCAGTAACAGGTTATTTTTCGTTCTTCTCTCGCCCTTCTTCCTCCTCAAGCTGGCAAAGCAGGGGCAGTGATGTTTGCTGGTGGGTGCTGCAGTGCATGGCCCTTGGTGAGAGGCTGTGGGTGCTGTCCTGGGGCAGTGGGCTCGAGCCCCAGAGCCATGTTCAGCCTGTGCTCAGAAAGCCCAGCAGCTGCTGCTGTCGCTCTCGCGCTCGCAGCTGTGCCCACACAGCCCGTGTTTGTCACAGGCAGAGCCCGGGATCCTGCCTGTGTAAGCATTGCTGCCTTTCACCGGGGCATGAAATGTCATTTTGGTGTGGTGGTGTCTACCCAGACTGCTTTATTAGTAAAGCCTTTCTGTACAATAGCATCCTTTCAAGCACGCCTTTTCCTCAGATTTGGAAGCAGAACTTTTGGTTATAAAGGAATTGTTATTGCAACACAACAACAGAACACTAAATGCATTTCACATAGTCTATGAGCTTTCCAGCATGCATGTGTCTGTTTTTTGTAAGGCTTCTGCTGTTTCTATGGTTCTTCTGGAGTAGCAGGTAGTATTTTTTTCTCAGGTTTTTGTTTGACTTAAACATGGAAAGCTAAAAGCTTGATAAATCACATGAACATTTTTATTGTAGAGATTATTAGAAAGGAATGGTATGGAAATGTAGACAAATTCTACTATTTAGTGTTTTTTAACTATGTTTACAAATTTGTTTCAAAGTACATAAGCCTTTGCTTACTTGAAAGTTATGAGTGCAGGTAGCAGATACTACCAGTGTGTGATGGAGGTAAACTTTTTTATTCCTTGTGCTAGTTTCCTTGGAATCACTATAGGAACAAAAGCCTAGAGTGTTTTGTACTTTTTAGTGTTGGTGGTTATAGTTTTATCTTGTTTTGTTCTTAACATGTTAGGCAGGAAATCTTATTTATAGGAATTTTTGTTCATTTCCAGAACATGGAGGGGGAGAGGAGAGTAGCGGAGGGAGGAATTTGGGTTGTTTTGGGGGTTTTCTTTACATACAGAATAGGAGCCAGCAAGAATCCATAATCCAAACCACAACGTGTTGCAAAGGGTTTAGCTGATGTTTTCCTGTTACCACTTACACGGAGAACCTATTGAGCTCAAGGATAAAATAGTGTGAATACTTAAATAAGTATAACTTGATAGGGTCAAACCAGAATGGCATTTACAAGGGCAAATCATGTCATTCTAGCCTGTTAGACAACTTGTTAAAAGAAGAAAATAAATAAATTATGGTTTTGAATTGAAAGGGAATCCAGAGAGTAGAACTGTTATAAATTTTCAGGCTGCTTTTGACAGCTTGTGTAAAATATTGTCAAATAAATAAAAGGCTTTTTAAGAGAGGGCAGAGCAATAAATCAAGACTTAATAAGGAAAACCAATTCAGAGTGGATTAATGTCTTTTCCTATGAGGAGAGGTTTGGAGTTCAGAGCACTTTATGGTGCAATGTAAATGTATTTATGGTAAGTGTATGGTTTTGTTTTATTTATTTACAAAGAGAACAATGGGTTGGAGAAGTCTTGCAGCTCCATGAGTTATTAGAAAAGATGATGGATGTGTGAGTGGAATTGCCCAGTGTATTCCAAAACTATGGTGGATCTGGCTGTGTGAGTCCAGATAACATTACTGGTCTTACTGGTTTTTACCCTATGTCATGTGCCCTATAGGAAGGACAACCTCAGCGGCTGTGAGGCTCATCCATCCTGTCAAAATGGATTTGATTAAATCTACAATTTGGTGTCTTTTCAGAGATCCAAATTTACCCAAGAAGTTAGAGTGGGCCTATGTGACAGACAAGGTGTGACTTGGTAGCCCTTGAAGACAATTGAAGTTAAATGGCTTTTATGGCAGCTTGGATGCATGACCATTCTGGTTACTGGGCTCCTCTTCATTGTTCCACTGGTCCAATGCCATTCCCAGTCACTCAGGGAGAACAGGGAGAAAAGCAACAATCACTTGCAAGTTGCCTCACCCTCTTTTGTATGCTATGCTTATGTTAAGTACTGATGGTGAATTGTGCACTGAAAATGAATACCACAGCACTTCCTGCCTACTTTGCACTAGAGATGTTAAGCTGGGTAGTGGCTGTCACTTTCTTAGTCCTATAGCCAATCTAAAGCTCTTGTTCCTGTCATGCAGAGCAGAGACATGGGCAAAAACAATGGAGAGACAGTTTTGGTTACTAAAGCAAACAAAACTAATGCTGGATGGTGAACAGTTCTTTATTCTTGAAGCCTATTTTAAGGATTTCTAAATTGGTTATCTTTTTTACTCTGATGAGACCAAAACCTCTGCAATAGGGGAGGAGAAGATACAAGGTTCTTCCATATGTCATCTCTCAAAAAGTAAACAAGTGATCAGTAACAACAAAATCAGTAGTGCCATCAGCAACTGAATATCAATACGCTGATCTGAATTGGGAATCCAGATTCAAAACTTGCATTTTGTGTCTAGGTCCCTTGGAAATGGCTTTTTCCTATTTATTTTCTGAGTAATATTCTACCAGTGGATCAGTGTTGTCTAACCAGAAAACCCCACACCATTAAAAATATTCTGCCCCCACTTTACCAATCAGGAAAATCACAAATGCTTGAGCAAGGTTGAGGTGATGTGTAATACAGTTAATAATGTTCTGTGTGTTGCATATATAATAAAGTTATTTTTATGTAGATATTAGCTCATGACTTGGTTTCCTTAACATGTTCAGCAGAGCTGTGACTTCACATGTCACAGCTTCTTGATGATAATTCAGTACTAATTACAATTTTCCAAACTGCACTGACAAGAGAATGTTCTGCTTACAACATCACTGCTGATTGTAGATATGATGGCAGCTCTTATTTCTGTTGTCCATGCATTTACTTTTTTTCACAATCTCTACAAAAACCATTGGAAGACTAGCCTTCAGAATTTATTATTTAAGAGGAACCATTCCCCTTCTTCCTCACTTTTTCTTCTGTTTCCTTTTCCCCTGTTTTCAGTGATATCTTTACTTTCCTTTCCACACACGTTGCATTCAACTTTTCCTATTTACATCTCTTTGCCATGGCTTACTCTTCTTCATTTCATGAGGGTAAGGCTTTTTTTTTTTTTTCCATTTTTTTTCTATCCTGTCTTTGGTTTAGTTCGCAATGCATAACAAGCAAATACAAAAAGAAGCATTTTGTAGAGTGCCAAAGTTTACATGGAAATGACAGATTTTTTTTTTTAATTAGAAGTTGAAATTGAGCATACTGTGACAGAAAATCTTGCATCATAGTATTGAAATGAGAAATCATTATCATTTAATGTATCATAAGAAATTTTAGTGACAAAAGTGATGTGCAGTTTACAGTGGTGTTTGTCAATGCTCTGGATTCATTAACCTGTTCTTGCAGATAGATTTTGTCATCACAAAGTGTAATGCATATATTTCATTGTGCAAAAGCATTTAGAAACATACCAGTACAACTTTTTAGTCTGAAAGAAGAAAAAAATCACAACAAACATACAGTAAGAATCTGAGGAGGCACTCAGTGGAAAATGTGTGGTCATGTGCCCAAGGCTGTGGTTAAATCACAGTGGTTACTTGCATCTGTTGGTACATCCCTACCAACAAAAAAACTGGTCTGGATTGGCAGTGGCTTTTTGAGCTTTTAAAATGCTTCTAAAGCAACAAACTCCACTGACAATAAACCCTGTTCTACAAACTGTTACTCCTACATAGCACTACATTGATTTCAACAGCTTCAATTCATGCCTTATGGCATAACTTGACTTTTCTTAAGGTGACGTGTTTCTTTTGAATTTCATAAAGAATTTTATATGTGAGGGCCAGTGTGATGACAGACACATCTAGCACATATAATAGATTAGTGGATGTAGTGGGTTGAGCACTGGCCAAACACCAGTGTACCTACCAAATCAGTGCATCAAAGACAAATGCTTTCCAAAATATGGTGTTGAGTTATTTCTGCAAGTCAGGATCAATCCTAAGTCTTTTAACTACACATACACACACACACACACACACACTTTGGAATCCTGGAATCTGAAACAAGTCTTGTCTATCCAAAGCAGGATTGCTTTGGCATCATCTAATACTTAAAACCATATGGATTTAAGCTAAGTGATTTAAGGAATAAGCCACAAAGAATTAAAAATAATGCATGTACTGTGAAAATGATCAGTTAATCCCCACAAGAAGCAGTTTCTATGCTTTGCAGAGAGACTGAATTGCACAGAGCCAAATGGATTCATCTTTCCAATATTTTTCCTGGCTCTTTACACATTTTGCTTAGTATTTATGAAAGCAGTTAATAATCTTCACCAGTGCTAAGACAAGGCACATATGCCTTCATTGATTCCTACTGAAACATCTAATGATGGTATGAAATATTCTAAGAGCTTCCCTGGGAGCTGGTTAGTGCAAGTCAAATTTTTTGCCATTTCCTCAGA